TAATTAGTACTAACTAAAATAAAAATAAAAAAAAAAGGTTTTTACTTTAGTTTTTACCAATAGTATTTAAAATACAAACTAGGTTAAGAACCAAAGTATAATAAAGAAAAATAAACAAAAAACTATAACAATAAAAGTTTATTTTTAGTTTTAAAAACAAAAGTTTATGTGGAGTTCCTGGAATGCCAGAAGACATAGAATCTCTTTAGATATCTATAAACAAGCCATTTATCAATGAGTGAGAAATGCATAGAGTTTGCACTTGGAATGAATATTAAGTTGTTTTTAATTTGATTGAATTTAATGAACTTTAGATATGATGGCAAAGGTTGACTTCTAGACAGAGTTTCTTTTTGACGAGTGATTTGTTAGTTTGGAAAATAGTCATTATTAGAAAGCTGTTACACTATTCTGTACTTTGTTTCTAGGTAGCATTATCAATACAACAAACAAAATTAATTTTCACTGTGGAGGAAAAACCTCATTTAAATAGCTGTGTTGGTGTAAATTAATCATAGGGTTAGAGATATGAATTCAAGAGTTGTGATGCTATTTTCAATACTTTTATTAGTTTATCTGATTTAAAGAGCAGTAATTGCATGCAGCTTCTTGCTACAAATCAATTATGGTAAGACTGCTGCCACATGGAAGATGTTGACACATGATCAGGTATTATTTTGTTTCTTAAACATAACCTGTTAAAGTTTCAACACTTAAAGCTTTAGCCGATAGTCTTGCTTACAATAACAAATATTGGTAATAATGTCAACAAACCACTTAGTTGTATCAAAAACCACTGACTAAGTTGAAATGATAAAACGTTTACTAGACATTTTGGTGTTATAAAAGATATTTGTAACATTGGTGTTTATAGCATTTAGTATGTTGAAAATCTGGTATAGGTACAAAAAAAATGGAGAAAAAAAATGAATAGCTAGGATGCACACTGTATTTAACCCTTTGACGTCCGAGCATTGCATGCTACTTTGAAATCGTAGTATTCTGAATGTATTTAGTCCTTAGTCCCAAAACTTTGAACACATTTTAGACATATGCTTTAAAAGTTACAATTTTAATTTGTATCTGTTTTATTCAGTTTGAAATGTACTTGAAATTACAGTAATATTCATAAGAAGAAAAAAGGATTATATTTTGTGTGCTAGGGAATGATTTCAAGATACTCAATCCATATTGTTTTCACTGTCTTTTTAGTAAATTTTATCTTGGTATATTGGTAACTTGGACAGATTTTTATCCTTTAAATCACCAATAAAGATGTTTTTTTTTAAATTTAGTTTGGTGGGTTAAAAGAAATAGTTAAAGAAAAATCATAATGGTAACTTTTTTTTTAAGCTATACGGTTATAATGTAAAGGGAAACTCGTAACCAGAGAGTAATTTTTTTCTGTAAAACTTAATATCCTTGCATCAAAGAAGGAAGGAAATAACAAGTTAAGCAACTTACATTATATAATAAATTATGTATACATTGGAAAGTACATGAAAAAATAGTCATTTATTTTTGAATGTGTAACTAATTATTTTGCTGATTTCAGATAAACATGTTTTGAGACAGGGATAAAAATCTGCTGACTTAGATTCTGAAGAATTTTAATTTTAATCTTTTTCCCAAATTATTAATTTGTTGTCTCCAAATGGCAAGTCATGTATAGTTCTTATGAAATGAAATAAATATGTCTAGTAATATTTTTGTGAAATTCAGAAATATAAGGAAAACACTAGAAATTTGAAGAAAGTTAATGTGATGGTGAATAAAAAGGATGAGTTCACTCTTGTCATATCTTGTTTCACCTTTGAGTGTATAAGATAGATGATTTTATGGAATTAGATTTCTCATTGGAATCAACTTTGTTTGTTAAGCATGCATTTAGTGAGATTTTTATCTTACATAATTTTTAAGTATAGTTAAAATCATGGTAATGTCAAAGTAGTGCAACTTCTCCATTGCTTTTTTATCTCTGGGGTTAAAATAAGTTATTAAAATTGTACAATTTTTTTATCAGTTTTTAGTAGTTATTTAACCATTTCTAGCTTATTTGAGGTATGGCTTATTTTGTAGTGTAATTCCTTGTTTTAGTATATCTGATTCTGTAGTTAATTTCTGCCTTTATTTTCAATGCTATTTTTAGTTTGTACTTAGGGCTAGGAACAACCTAGCAGGTAGTTTGGTGGAATATGAATCCAAAGGTCTGGGATTCATGCTGTGTTGCCACAAGTTTGTGCTCTGCACTTTGGTGCTATGGATGCATTATGAGAGCTTCTTTTAAGTCTCACTATTTGATAAGTTTAGCTCTAGAATTGGTAGTAGATGATGTTGACTAGTTGCCTTCCTTCTAGTCTGTAATTCAAAATTAGGGACAGTTAGCACAGAAAAGCCATTGTTGCTCTTTTTTTAAATATCTGAAACAAACATTCATATTAAATCCAAATTTAAGAAAAAGAATGAAACTTTAGTTTTACATGTAAATGATAGTAGTTGAACACTTCCAATAAGGTACTCTCCCTCTTCTCACAAGATTAGCTTTTCTCATTTTGTGTTGCCTTCTGTATGTGAAAGTTTTCATAAATGCATGCCACAAGCCTTCATCTTCATTCTGTTGGAATCAAAGTTCCAACACATCTCTCATGCAAATCATCACGAGTCATCTCTCCACCAATAGGAGAGTACTACTATCATGTGACGTATGTGACTCCCTCTATGCGCCACTACCAAACTATCACTTCTCATTTGGCAATTGTCAAGCCAGACGTTCTTTTTTTTTTTTACATTGTTCAGT